GACTACACAGACAGAATTTTTATATATATATATATATATATATATATATATATATATATATATATATATATATATATATATATATATATATATATAGTAGGTATTATCTTTTAGTATTATTATTATAGTTCATATATATATATATATACTTTTTCCACAAACACAATATAATCATTTTAACTTCTCATTTGATGAGATAATCCATTCCATCTCACAGGTTGTGCCATATCAAGATGCTGATTAAAACCTTTATTAGTGCACAGGTGTGCCTTAGACTGCCCACAATAAAAGGCCACTCTGAAAGATGCAGTTTTGTTTTTTTGGGGTCTGGGGACTCAGAAAATCAGTCAGTATCTGGTGTGACGACCAATTGCTGCATGCAATGCGACACATCTCCTTTGCATAGAGTTGATCAGGTCTTCCAGTTGTGGCCTGTGAAATGTTGATCCCTTCCTTCAATGGCTGTGCGAAGTTGCTGGATCTTGACAGGAACTGGTGCATGCTGTCATATACGCAAACAAACATGCTCAATGAGTGACATGTCCGGTGAGTATGCCAGCCATGCAAGAGTTGGGACGTTTTCAGCTTCCAAGAATTGTGTACAGATTCTTGTAACATGGGGCAGTACATTATCCTACTGCAACATGAGGTGATGTTCCTTGATGTATGGCACAACAATGGGCCTCAGAATCTCGTCACAGTAAATCTGTGCATTCAAAATTCATTCAATAAAATGCACCTGTGTTCTTCGTCCATAACAGACGTCTGCCCATACCATAACCCCACCACCACCTTGGGCAACTTGATCCATAACATCGACATCAAAAAACTGCTCACACACACATTGCCACACAAACTGTCTGCCATCTGCCCTGAACAATGTAAATAGGGATTAGTCCATGAAGAGAGCACCTCTACAACGAGCCAGACACAGCGAAGTTGGAGAGACTCAAGTCAGTTACACAACAAACTGGAGTCAGGTGGAGACCCGATGAGGGCGCCGAGAATGCAGATGAGCTTCCTTGGTTTCTGACAGTTTTTGCAGAAATTACCAATTTTTTCAACAGCTGTCTGAGTGGCTGGTTTCAGATGATCTTAGAGGTGAACGTGCTGCTGTGGGGGATCTGGCTGGTGTGGTTACATGTGGTCTATGGTTGTGAGTTTGATTGGATTTAATGCCAAATTCTCTGAAACGCCTTTGGAGACGGCTGATGGTAGAGACATGTTCATTCAATACACGAGCAACAGCTCTGGTTGACATTCCTGCTGTCAGCATGCCAATTGCACGCTCCCTTAAATCATGCCACCTCTGTGGCATTGTGCTGTGTGATAAAACTGCACCTTTCAGAGTGGCCTTTTATTGTGGGCAGTCTAACGCACACCCGTCCACTAATCATGGTGTCTTATCAGCATCTTTATATGTTTTGTGAACAATATTTGAGGGAAATATTCATATTGTGTTATATTGTGTATGTGGAAAGAGTTTTAGATCTTTGAGTTCATCAAAAATGGGAGCAAAACCAAAAGTGTTTACATTTTTGTTGAGAGTATTTTCATTGTGCAAACTCTTCTAAATGCATACTATTTTGTTGTTGATCTCATGGAAATGGATCTCACAAACTTTCTCGACCACGTCTTGATTCTCAAAAGTGACAAAGCCAAAACCTAAGAGAGACAAACAGAAGACAAAATAGAGAAGAAAATATTAGGCTGCTGCTCTTCTAACAAAACAAAACATTCAAATCAACATTTTGCTGTGCATTCATCATCATAACACAAAGCCCAGAGAGAGGAGGTGACCCTTGCATGTCATGGTTGTCAATCAGAAATAAGCACAATAGAGGAGAGGAAAGAATTATCATACACGCACACTTATCCCTATAGTGGTGTCGTTAGGGCTGGTGCAGTGGATTCTGGACAGATTCCCAGTCCCATTTGTCTCTAAACTACCAATTTAATTTATGTTTTATGACATTTGTTTGTCATAGGGTTTGAGGATAGATAAATACATCTTCATAATAATTCCTTATTGTTGTTTATTTTAGACTGTTTGTTACTAATGTTATTTTAACATCTGAAAATTTAATAAAGATTTAAAAATAAAAAGGACATACCACGTGACAGACATACCATGTGACATAACAAATTTTTTTGTCCATTTCTCTCGCCAGCGCCTATAGGCAAGAGCGGTCAGCATTTCCAATATGGCTGTCCTTGATGTGGGCAAGCCAATGGAACGAGCTGTATTCAGATTCAGGATATTAGATGTAACAATAAGATGTTGAGGAATCTCCTTTTAAAAGAACCATTCCCAAATCCAATTAGAAGACATTACATTTTAAAGGACTTTACAACAGATCAGATTATTAAAATAAGAACTAATTACGTAACTTACCCTCTGCCACCAAAAGCGAAAGAGATGCAATTCAAAATTATCAATGAAATATATCCAACTAAAGAATTTTTGACTTCTAAGTTTAAGTTTGATACAGAATATTGTGTTTTTTGCATGAGAAACGTTGAGAGTTTGAAACATTTTTGTTTTTTGTGAACCAATCTTTAAATTCTGGAAAGATTTCCAAAGTTGGCTAATAAGTAAGAATGTTGTTTTGTCAGTATTAATTATTTAGGTATTTAAGTATTTAATTTGGTTTAGAAAGTGAGAATAAGACTCTTGAATATTTAGGAAATTACCTTATACTGTTGGGAAAATTCTTCATTCACAGATGTAGGTATTTTAAGACAAAGCCCACTTTTTGCCATTGGAAAAATGACTT